CAGGTCTAGCATCCTGGAACATACCATAGTGGCTAAAATCACACTGATAGACACAAGTTTAAAAGATGTTAAAAAATAAAATAAAATAATTTCATTCTAATATCTAATTTATTCTGCAGACTAATGAAGGACAGAGATCGGTGTCTTTAATTGTTAGATTCTGACTGCTTTCCAGTGGCCAGATGACTAATTGTCTTTTTTTGTTGTTTTTTTTAGGTGGCTCTGCTTTGGGGAAAGAGGAAAAACAAACCCAAGATGAACTATGAGAAACTGAGCCGAGGCCTACGCTACTACTACGACAAAAACATCATCCGCAAGACGGCGGGAAAGCGCTATGTCTACCGCTTTGTCTGCAACTTGCAGGGCCTGCTGGGATACGAGCCTGGGGAGCTGCACGCCATGTTGGACATCAACAGTAAAACACGCTCAGAGCGAGAATAAACAGAGACGGAGACCAAGAACTATTTTTTATACGATTATAGGATCCAGAAAAAGGAGGAAACAAAACACTGCATAGCCAGACGATGAAAGCTGGCAAAAAATCCAAGGAAACATGCATTTAAGATTCCAAACTCATTATTTTTGGGTTGAATAGAATAATACTTCTACTGCCCTCAGATGCTACAACAGTCCTCTGACTAATGGCTGAAATATCGCCTCAAATTAAAATATCAGGACAAAAAAGCCAGAAAGCAGCAGGCAGTCTGCTCTGTATCCAGCTAGCTTCAGTTTGATTGACCGTAGGTCGCTTTTGTCACTGCCAGATAACGCTGTCTTTAGCCTTCTGTTGTCACTAACTCCCTGATTTGTAAAACAAAGTCAATTATCAAGGTTCTCCAAATGCAAATCCTTTCTTAAGCTACTGTCAGTGTCCTACAATACGGAGGACCAATCCTGCCATTATTAAAAATAAATACAGAAATAAATAAATGCTGCAAAAATAAATAAATGTACAATAATTGCCCCCAAAAATACAATAAACAAGTAAATATAGGTAGAAATTAAATTATACAGTGAGATATAAATGTATATATATCTTTTAATTAGCTTCTTTGCTTATTTGCCTTTGTAATAATTACCTTATTTATTTATTATCCGTTACATGCTTTAGCTTTATTTGTTTATTACTTATTTATTTATGTGCATGTTATAATATTTTGTCTGGTTTATTCTTCCTTTGTATTTTTTTACCCTATTTATTTCTTTCTGCAATTCTGCCTCATTATGCAAATGAGGAGGGGGCGTGTCTTAAGGGCTCAACTTCTCCCCATTGGTTGGCTAGCAGCCACCCGGGGACGGAGCGACTGAACCCGTCCCGCTGACGGTATGCTTCCATTCGCCTGCCTAAGCTGGCAGGTGGGGGGGAAGCACGGGGCCGCAGCCTCCGTCACGTGGTCAGGTTTGGTCGCTCTGTCCCCGGCTGGCTCCCTCCCCTCCTGCACTGGACGATTTTGAAATTTCAGGCGGTCTGTTAGAGTGTCCAGACTAGGATGACCAGACGTCCTCTTTTTCCTGGACATGTCCTACTTTTCATACTTAAAAAAAAAAAAAAAAAAAATGTCCGGGGGGAATTTCAAAATCGTCCCGGATTTTGGTCGACTACAGCGCAGCAGAACCGAGCCGTCAGATCCGGGGCTGGTCCAGGACCCCGTTTGACGGGGAGCATATCGTCACCGGGTCGAGTTCCGTCGCTCAGTCCCCGCCTAGTTCCCTGACCAGACCAGCCCCGCAAAAATACAATAAACAAATAAATAAACATTTATTTTTTTATTGTATTTTTGC